GATTCTGGAGGAAGAAGGCTTGGTGTCCCCGGATTAGAGCCCGTCCGAGATTCAACTCCTGGACCATACTCCTGGTGCTTGACGTCACTTTGTTTAACTATGCCTTATTCCATACGAACTCAAAATCTGTCGAATGTTTGCTGTACTCATTTACGGCTTGATTGGCCGAAGTTCCTCTTGTTTGGTACTAAACATGGATCACACTCTTTTCAGGCATCGGGATCTCTCAAGTACTGTTCACATTACTTGTGCTGGCGACAATGACGCGGTTTCTTGGTTGGTTGTTTCTATTCGTGGTTCATCTCTTTTGGACGATACAAGCAGATCGACCAGGTGAGCGCTATACTCAGCTGATGATTTCTTCTTCTTCATTATTGCTTTTTTACGTCTCTATTTTCTGATTTGTTTGCCTTTCAGGGTTGCCGTGGTTGAACTGCAAGTATTTTCCGGAGTTATTGTCCGCACCATGTAGAGATGCTGGATCCATGGCGAACTTCACTCTGGCAGCACACACGAAACTGAGTACGGTACGGGACGAGAGTTCTTTGATGCAGTTCATGAGGTGATGCCTACGTTTATTCTTTGGATATTACAGTCATGATCCCTGCGAACCGTAAGGCTGTTATCACACTTTGATAGAGAGCTGTTATCACCCTTTGCGGCCAGCATCCACCAGTGACCGGTAGCGTCACTAGCGTTCCGACTGCGTCCGGCATCGTTCAGCAACTAAGGAAAAGTTAGAGGTCTGCCAGGGTCTACTCAGCGTACGGCAGCCTACCTCTAGCAGTGGAGGCGTCGTATGAGCTGCCCCGCAGCTGTCATTATTGGTTCTGGGACGCTGCGGCCGTAACTACCACTTCCAACGAGGCCCCTGGCAGCCGTTCTCTAGGATCGGACATACTCGTCAAGGACTTATCACCTTTGATTCTCGTAATCGGATTGACCAACAATGGGATTAGACCCAACCCATAGACGCTGAATTTGCACCGAATGAGGAGAACAGTCTTGTCGATGCTGTTGCGGCGCCGAGGCGGCCAATGGTATTCGTCAACAATAACGGATTATTGGTCACTTACTCTTTCGAAAACTGGCTACGAAGAAAAATTATATTACTAAGATTGTTGAAATTTATGTCTAAAAACTAAATATAGGGTTTACAATCCAACTCTATTGCAAATAAAACTATAAAAAGATAAGTAGACTGGTTAGAGGTGTTCTCATTGGCAGCGGTGTTCAACACTAGCTCTCATTTTACCACAAAATTTTTGATTTAACCTTTTTAATCCGCTGCGACAGTGTCTTTTACTCATTATTACCTTAGTTTGTTTAGCCCATCTACAACAATCCATTTTTCTTCCTCTTACACCAATCTTGTACTCACACCGGTTATATCCTTCTTTCATTTACCTTTGCAAGTTCCATCTATCTTTTATTCAATGGATTTTGCATGTCAACTTTTTTGCATTTTTTCTCGCTATATCCTTTTCTTATTCCCCTATGTAGTCCATGTCCATGTCTCAACTCTATCGTACTGAGGAGCCGGGGATTTGGTAGGCATCGGAATGGATTCGTCTACGATAGACGGCGAACGGATCATCTGTGTTTTTGACCGTGTATTTCCCAATATTGTTTTTCTTTGTTTCTAATTGGGGTGTTTTAGAGTCAGCGCCTGTAGCATCGGCTCTAGGAGCTTTTGAGTTGAGCGGATGTAATACTCATGGTCAGGAGGTCAATCCACCTTAGGGTACAAATTTTTAGACAATTTTGCCTACGCAGAAAAAAGTCGTTTAAAAACTGGCCTGCTTTTGGAAGATGGGGGCAGTAAAGGGTAAATAGTGCCAAAGTTTGTTAGGAACTCTTAAAGGTAAGCCTTAGCAAGGAAAAAAAAACACAGATGTGAGCAAACTGAGAAAAAGGAATGTGTTATGACTTGATGTCATGAAACTCATTGCTCTTCAAGCATGCAAACAGCATGAAAATTAAGTTTTTAAGCAATGTACAATACTTATCAGTAGCAGAATAATAGTGAGGGTTATCTCTATCGATGCCTCCGCCTCTCTGCATCTTTCGCCTCCTCCATTCTCGCAAAACCTCCCCCAACAAGATGAGCTGGGGGAGAGGGGAGAATATCAATTGTACTCTGCGCTGCACTATATTCGCACAGAGCTTGCGCCAGAAGAGAATGGGTGCAGAGCGGCGAGAGCCAGAGAGACGAGGGGCATCAATAGAGATAAGAGTGTGGAGGATTTTTGGGAGATATCTCCCTTTAAAGGAATTATAAATACGGCATACTGGCCCGGTAGTCTGCTGCTGGTCGTTGCTGGTCGCTGGCAGTTGTTGGCGAGAGCCGGTAGACGCTAGATCGGTATCTATTCTTGCCTAGTAGCTGACGCTGCCGCGACGGCGTGCGTGGTATGCTATTGATCGCTGGTGGTGTGCTTGCTGCCGCAAAGTCTGAACGCGGCCTAAGGAGCATGTGACGAAGCGTGGATTGGTGCGCAGCCAGGGCGGCCTTTTCCACCAATAACGATATCCTGCATCCACTGCAATTGGTGGGGAAGGCTGCGCTGACTGAGTTTCCAGCTACGCCCTCGTCACACATCATACTGCTTGTAGGTATCGTGACTGTGATATCACCAGCTTTGTCATCAGTTCATCGCACAAATGCATCATTGTGCAATTTCAGCGCACTGGAAAGACCTTCTGCTTCCATCGCGGACTTTGGAGAGTTCCAGTACTTCTTGCTAGCTGCCCAAGGTCTTGTATGGATCATGGTATTCTTTGGTATCTGTTTCGGCGTAAGATGGCTAGGAAAGGTTAGTCTTCACTCTGACGCCATTGATAATTTGCGTTCTTTGATAGCTATTTTCTTAGCCGTTCGGAGATTGTTTATTAGTCTTCCTCCACGGTTATTTCAGGTAATCCCATTTTTGTTTATGGCGGCCTTTAGCATGATGTTGGCGCTTCTGATTCGAGCTAGCACCATGGATGGTCTGGTGAATATCTTCAATATCTATATCAACTCGACCGACTGGAATAAACTGGCAGATTACAAAGTGAGTTATTGTCCCAGAAACATGTTACAGCATACTTAGCATCGCCGATCACGTAGCGGCTAAGAACCGTACATTATTTAGGCGGAGAGAAAAATGATATGACTTAAAGACAAAAAATTTTCGTCCTATCACGTATCACACATATTTTCGTCTATTTCGACGATAGAAGCTTCCTTGATCTCATACCACACAGACGCGCGAATCGCCCCAATTCCCGCACCCCATCCCCCCCCTTCTTCTAGACAGTACACGTGCTATCGCTCGGAAATACGACCCCCAACTTGGTCCTCTGCTGTTAGGTTGTTCGGAAAGTTCTCAGCGTTTTGAGTGTTTCACTTCAAACGATCATAACTTTCTTAATACTCATCGGATTCAGTCGAAATAGGCACCGTTCGAATCAGCACACTTTTTTGCCAGTGTGACACACTCCATTTAATCTCATCAAACGAAAAAAAAAATTTGTGGCGGGTGGATAGAGAATCACGAAGTCCATGTCAGTCCTTATTTGCCTGGTCGTTGATGAAGCTTCCAGCAAGGAAGTTCTAAGAATAAGATTAATGAAAAGGTGATAGTCGAGTGTGTCGTGAAAGCTGTCCTGAAGATATGGCGAACGTGAGGCGCGAAAACTTCAACGATAGTGATTTTGTGCAAACGTGGGGTGGGCCGTTTTCACTGTAGCAAGAGTGGATCCTTTCTGTTTACAAGTGCTGGTGCCGAGCTGATGCAATTCGGTACATTTCGTCGATTTCTTCACATAGGACTCTGCTGTGATGGTTTGGCCTCGTGACAAAAAATTATAGTGGATCACACCAGCCGATGACCACCACACTGTGACCGTGACCTTTTTTTGGTAAAAGAGTCCGGTTTTGGAAAATTGCCTCGGTGGTTCGTCGGCGTCCAACCACTGTCCGGAACGTCTCCTGTTATCATACATGATCCACTTTTCATCACAGGTGACAATTCGGTTTAAAGAGGCGATCGTTTCTGTTGCGCAAAAGCAGTGAAGAAGAAACCTCGAGACGTGCCAATTTCTGCCGGTCACTCAAATTGTGGGGCACCCACTTGTCGAGTTTTTTCACCTTCCCAATGCGTTTCAGACCATCTGCAACAGTGGATTTGCCAACGCCTAGCTCTTCTGCTATCTCTCGAACTGTTTGGGATGGGTCAGCCTCCAAAATCCCCCTAAAATCCTCGTCAGATATTGCTTTAGGTCGACCGCTATGAGGTTCATCTTCAAGGCTGAAATCTCCAGAACGAAATTTGTCGAACCATTGTCGCACGGTGCTTTCTCCAACACTATTGGGCCCCCACACCTGGTTAATTTGTCGAGCTGTCTCGACTGCGGATTGACCCAATTTGTAGTTGAAGAAAAATATCGTCCGAAGTTGCTCTTTTGACATGCTTCAAAAAGTCTTGGGAAAAGGGGGTGAAACGGCAATTATACCATCAGATAGCGCAAAAAATTCTCTTCAGGATGTACTACTGAGACGCAAGGGAGAATGAGTTTTTAATCAGCAATGAATGTACAAAAAATAGTAACACAAAACGCTGAGAACTTTCCGGACAACCTAATACAACGCCCCCCACGCGCACCTTCACCATTCTACCTACTGTTTTGTTGCCCCGTCTTGCCAAATTTTCCAAGCTTCCCGCCATTTGCATCGAAATTTACCGAGAAGCTTCCCAGTTTCTCTCCAGAATTTTGCCGTCGACAGGGCACATCACATCGAATCGAGCCGTCGAAGCGGGGTGGGGGAAAGGGGGGG